TAATAGTTTTTTTGTTACATTCCTTGGGTTTTCTATATAAAAGATCATGTCATCTGCAAATAGAAATAGTTTATCTTTCCCTTTCCAAAGTGGATGCCTTTTAGTTCATTTTCTTGCATTATTGCCCTGGCTGTGGTCATTTTTAAAAAGAGTCTTATCATTTAAAGGTACACACTGAAACATTTATGGATGAAAGGATATGTCTGGAATAGTTTCAAAATAATTCAGGAGGGAAGAAAGGGGGTGATAAAGTCAATGAAACAAGAATGGCCATAAGCTGTAATACTGGAGCTGAGTAACGGATATATAAGGACTTAATCTCCATACTTTTATGTATGTCTAAATTATACTAATTTCTATATTTTATGTATATTTAAATGTTTCACTTATAAAAGTTTCAAAGATGTAAGTTCAAAACACAAAACAAATTCTGTGGAAATTGCCAAGCTTACATATAAACCTTCCCAATGATTAACTTAAACGTAGTCAAGTGCCTGCCGAAAGTTCCCACTACGCTTACCAACTTCATGTTTAAGTGATTCGGTATTATTTAAACAGAAAACTGATACACTGTTTCAATCTACACAGAGTGGAGAAGGATTTTTTAGACACGCTTTTCATCAAGAAGAGTCATGGAAAACCTCTGAAGTCTTCTGTACATTCAATATTTCCTTTCTCTCTCTCTCTCTTTTAGAGACAGAGTCTCATTGTGTCACCCAGGCTGGAGTGCAGTGGCATGATCATAGCTCACTGCAGCCTCTCCCCGCCAGGCTCAAGCAATCCTCCCACCTCAGCCTCCTAAGTAGCTGGGACTATAGGCATGCACCACCATGCCCTGCTATTTTATTATTATTATTTGTAGAGATGGGGTCTCACCATGTTGCCCAGGCTAGTCTCAAACTCCTGGGCTCGAGCAATCCACCTGCCTTGGCCTCCCAAAATGCTGGGATTTCAGGCATGAGCCACAACACCAGGCCCCTTCCTTTCTCTTAATATCACTTTCAAGCAAGCTGCAATATCATTGGTTTTGTAATATTACTCACTTGCCCTTTATCTACCTTTCTTGCTGATAATCAAACTCCGGGGTCCAATTTGCATTTCTAAAATGACATAACTGTTTTGGCGGTCATTTATGAATTAAAGATGGACCATTTCTGCTACCTACACAAAAATAATAAAGGAAAATCGAGATTAAAAAGGTGATTCTTAAAAGGACCAATAAGGCCGGGCGCGGTGGCTCACACCTGTAATCCCAGCACTTTGGGAGGCCAAGGTGGGTGGATCATGAGGTCAGGAAATTAGGACCATCCTGGCTAACGTGGTGAAACCCTGTCTTTACTAAAAATACAAAAAATTAGCGGGGCATGGTGGCACACACCTGTAGTCCCAGCTTCTCGGGAGGCTGAGGCAGAAGAATCACTTGAACCCGGGAGGCAGAGGTTGCAGTGAGCCGAGATCGTGCACTGCACTCCAGCCTGGGTGACAGAGCGAGACTTTGTCTCAAAGAAAAAAAAAAACAATAAAATGGTCCAATACATGGCAAAACTGTCCAAGAAAGGAAGATAAAGTGTACAAATAAATTCTATTAGAGACATAAAATAGCTACAAACAGAGATTGAAATGGTAAGCAAAGATTCTAAACAAATGAATAGCAATAAATTTGAAAGCAAAGTGGTAAAAGCAAATATATATTACACAGATTCCTCTTGCCTGGTTTTGAATATTACAAAGTTTATACAGCATGTGTTCTTTTCTGTATGGCTACTTTCACACACTATAGTGAGATTCGTCCATATTGTTCTGTGTCAACACGTGGACACAGTGCACTCATTTCCACTGCCGTGTAGTATCCCACTATGTGAATACAGAGAAACACATTTATTCCTCTATACTACTGATTGACATGCTTCTGGGTTGTTTCTAGTCTGGAGTGATTGGGAATAATGCTGTTGTAACCACTCCTATATAGGCCTTCTGGTGCTGGATGTATACCTAGGAGTCAAACTAGTGTGTCACAGGATACGTATCTATTCAACAGTATTGGATAATAGAAAACAGGTTTTCAAAGTGGTTATACCAACCTGCATTCCTTCTAGTAGTGTATTAGAGTTTCTATTGCTTTACATTCTTACCACCCCTTGTTATCTTCAGTCTTTTTAATTTTAGGCATTCTGATTGGTTTGTAATTACATCTCCCTGTAATTTTAATTCACATTTCACTAATTTTTCATAAGTTTACTGGTCATTTGTATATCCTTTTTTGTGAAATATCCCCTTAGGTCTTTTCAACCTTTCTTTTTTATACTTTAGAAAATTTTAAACAACATTGTAATGATGTGCTTCTTAAAGACGTGGTAGAATTCTCATATGAAACCATCTGGGCCTGGTTCAAATTATAAATATTTATTTTTTTATAAAAGGAGTACAACACTGATAGAAAACACAACAGAAACTGTTAAATTATTTAGTAAAAATTAACTAAAGACTCCTGATTCTAATTTACGGGTGACACCATACAGTGCTAGGAATTCATTTTTGTGTATTGTGTTCTCAGCCATGATAATTTACTCCTACGTAATTCTAGGCTATCCCTGGATTGCAGGAGCTGGAAACCAGGAAACCCTCCTCAAGGGTTCTGAATGATATTTACATTCTGAAAATCAGATGTGGACTGGAACTTGTGAAAAAAAGGAAGTCATTCGTCTTCCTCAAGCAGTGGTACCAAAAGTCCAGGTTTCAAAGATAAAAGTGGTTTTGGGGAAGGCTTCTATCCTATATTTCTATTAAGCACCATCCCCCACTAGGTACTGGGAGAGATTTGTGACATGGACACAAATTTCCTCCGGGTACTGATCTCTGGTGGCAACAGCAGTTTTTTGACTATTGATAAACCAAAAAATTAGTGGGGGTTTCTAAGACCCTTGCTTTCCTAGCCCTCCCAACAGTTTGGTGAGCACCTAATTTCCTGTAACAAATAAATTTCTGCTTGAAATCTAGAGTGGTTTCTGCTGTCCTCTGACCCCTGACTGCCACATGCTCCCTTAAAGGCAAGGATAATATGACAACTATTTAACAAGTTGTACAGCACAGGCACTGACGGTTCCAAGCGAATACCAGGCAGCATGCTATCCAAGTGTGTACTGGCTGGATTCTGCCTGCCTTAGATAGCATCTGGAAATATGGAAGAGTGTCTTAGGTTATAGAATCCCTGAGGATTGTCACTGCCACTTAGTGTTTGGGAACCAGGGAAGCAAGATGTTCTGCAAAGGATAGTTCCACACAATGAAAACTTTTCCTGCTCAAAATTTCAGTGGTATCCCCACTGAGATACACTTCTGTGGAGCAAACTCATGTATGAATATTGATAAAAGAATCTCATATAAAATAGTAACAATAGTCCCTGAAAGCATATTGAAATACTACATTGATACTGTGTGGGGTTTTTCCAAAATCCAAGGATGATACAATATAGGTGAATATATTAATATGATTCACTATGATAACAAGTCTAAGGAGAAAAGTCATAAAACTTTTTTCTGTAGACTGTGAAAAGGCATTCCACAATTCACTATAAATATCACTTATAGTGACTATTTTTACCATATTCAATAAATTAGGAACAAATGAATACTTTGTTAATTTAATGAAATGTATCTCTCTCTGCCCAAAAGGGAGCATCTGTTTAATTGGGAGACATTAGAAGAAATCTACTAAAGTTAGGAAGAAGATAATGAGATCAACTCTGGAGGGCTACATCATTCTTCATGAATTGGAAGATTCAATATCATAATGATACCAGTTACTATGAAAACAGTGTCAGTTCTCCCCAAGTGCAATTCCAATCAAAATCTAAGCAGATTTTTGTTTGTGAAAATTAACACTTTTTTGAGACTGTGTCTCAAAAACAAACAAACAAAAAAAATAGAGCCCCCAAAAGTTTAAATCATAAGACAAAGGAGGAGAGATACTTGGCTCATCAAAATTTAGCTTTTTTTCCCAGTAAAGTATCCATAAACAAAGTTAACAGAAACTTGAAAGAGATAACTGAATCTTTGAAACCAATATTTGATTAACTTTTAGAATACAATGTAGCTAGCACTGTGTTAATCAGAAAAGGCAGAAAATTAAATAAAAAATGGGCAAAGGGTATGAACAGGTAATAGAAGGAGAAGCCTGCATAATACGCAAAGAGATGCTCAAAATCACTAGTCATCAAAGAATTGAAAGTAACAACAGCAATAGCTATCACTGGATAATAATGAGATTGGGAAAAAATAGGAAATTTAATAATATCAAATTTTGGTGAAGATGTACATTGAGTGAGAATATAAATTGTAACTGCCATTCTGGAAACAATCTTGCAGAACTTCCTTAAATTAAGTGTATTTCCCATGGCCAGGCAACTCTATTTGGCTACATATAGCAGGTAAATGATTGCACAGATATACAGATACATAAAAGGACTTGTAGAGAGGACACTCATTACAGTATTGTTTGTGATAGCAGGAAGCTATATGTCCAGCAATAGGGGTATATAAAATATAATTGATTTACACTAGTAATTAGGCAGCAATAAGAAGAAATGAAGTAGAAAGTATTGAATAAAAAAAGTAATATAGAGAATGAGGTCTATAGTTTGTGTGACCAAACATCCTGACTTGTCTAGACAGTTCCAGTTTATATCTGTTGTATAATTATTAATAGCACTCCCATTCTCAAGAGGTTAGGAAGTATACTGAATGGTTATCCTACCTATATAATAACACCACATTGTGAATAGTAAATCACAAAAACACTCAAAACAACACTATTTTTGCTACATGCAAATTTAAGGACATGGATTAAGGAGGGGACCTGTGTTAGGGTAATACACGGGATGAAAGAAATGAAATGGAAGAGCGACAATGACTGTAAAACTCAATATGATTAACTCTGCTCTCTGCTTTAAAGTTCAAAAAATTTAATACTTAACTATAGTTTATTAAAAATTCAACACTTACAGTACTTCTGGTACTAAAAATGCGATAGTTTGGGCTGTTACTGGAATACCTGTGGAGGAAGAGGCCAAGTATGAATATTAAAACTAACTTATTCTTCAAATATGAGGATTCTCTACATGGTCAGGGCATAGCTGGGTTGCCAGGAGCTTCACCCTTCTGCCTAATTCCCTTCCTGGACAGCAACTCAGGGCTGAAATTGGGGCTATCAGTGACCTCTACCCACATCTCTGGATGTGTTAGGGTTTGCTCAGTATCTGAAGACAGTAAAACAAGATGAGAAGTTAATACTCTTCACCTGTTTTTTGTTTTTTTTTTTGGTAGGATGAAAACTCTTGAAGAACATGGGCTGTAACTCTTTCACTTACAAAGAGTTAAAATAAGAATAAAGATTGGAATTTCAAAAACCAGTATTTTTTTTTTTTTTTTTTTTGAGACAGGGTCTGTCTCTGGAGTACAGTGCAGCACTTTTGGCTTACTGCAGCCTTGACCTCCCAGGCTCAAGTGATCCTCTCACCTCAGTCTCCCGAATAGCTGGGACTACAGGTGCATGCCACCACGCCCAGCTAATTGTTGTATTTTTGGGGTAGAGACAGGGTTTTGTCACGTTGCTGCAATGGAGGGTTCTTAATTCCTGTCTAACGCAGGATTATCAGATTCGTCTAACGCAGCCCTGTCCAATATAATTCAAGCCACCTCCTATTAATTAAAAATGTTCGAGTAGCTACTTTAAAAGCACAAGAAGAAATGGGTGAAATCAATTTTAATAATTTTTAGCTTTTAATTAATTAAAACTAAACAAACTAAAACTAAACTTAAAATTAAACTTAAAATTAATAATATTGTTTTATTCAACACGTAATCAGTATAAAACGATTATTAGAGAGATATTTTACATTCCTTTTTCATACTAAGTCTTTGAAATCCAGTGTGTACATTACACTTACAACACATCTCAATTTGGGTTATATTTCAAGTGCTCAAAAGGCACATGTAGCTGGTGACTATCATAAATCATCACCCTACAATTCCTTCAGCTTCCATTTGCTTCAAGAATCTATTCCATGTCTATATTGCATACCTAATTGCAATTGGAATTGCTCCATCCCTAAAGTTTTAAATCAGAGGCCTTTTTTCTGTATGTAGAGGAAGAATTGCTAGGATATCATTATGCAATTCCCTTATCAGAATTATACAAGCCTTAATAGCACTCTGAATTCTTATTTTTAACAGAAATCAGTCACCTTTATAATGAAACACATTTTCTGTATATACAGATCGAATAAAAAAAAGTTCATGTATTTTACATATACCTATAAATAAAACCGAAATCTATTGTCATTGAAGGCTTTTTTTGAAGTGTGAACCACCTCACACTTCTTATGAATCTAAGATCCCTTTCATTACAGAGAGAAAAATACAAGTGGCACATTTTGTACTTTAATTTACAGAGTTAAATTATGTAATTTAATAAGATCTGGTAGTGAAAGGATGAAATGACCTTTCCTGGTAGGCCTTTTCTCCTCACCTGCTCCCTCAACAGCTGCTTCTCACTCCTACTGGGGCTGAGGACAGGCTAGGGAGAGAACAGTCGTTCAAAGAGTCACGTTTAATTTATTAATTTAGTCCCAGATAACAATGACAATGCCTTTTCATTCTTGCTTTATCATGTCTAATATTTAATGTATTCTTGTTGGAAACGGATCTAAGAGGCCCAAAGGTATGTGGGGTGTGCAGATAGACACGTGCTATTTTTTAATGAAAAGGGCACTGTCATCTCACTCTTGGACCACAATGATCCTCTCCTCTGGCAAAAGAAGGGTGCACAAGGGGAGAGGAATGTAAGTATTCACAGGGGCTGGGGTGTGATGGCTCATGGCTCACAGCTCATGGCCTGTAATTACAGCACTTTGGAAGGCCCAGGCAGGAGGATCCCTTAAGGCCACGAGTTCGAGACCAGTCTGGGCAATATTGTGAGACCCTGTTTCTGCCAACTTTTTTTTTTTTTTTTTTTTAATTTAGCCAAGCGTGGTGGCGCGTGCCTGTGGTCCCAGCTATTCAGGAGGCCGAGGTGGGAGGAGCGCTTGGGCCCAGGAGTTTCAGGCTACAGGGAGCTATGATGGCGCCACTGCATTGCAGCCTGGGCAACGGAGCAAGAGGCCGTCTCTAAAACAGACAACCGCCGCCCTAAAAAACAAAAAAGTAAGATTTCACTGGGACTCAGATGTTCTGAGGACAGCATGAAGTTACTGCGACCTTACTGCAGGAACTGGGTCAGCAAAGTGCTAACAGCGGCCCCTCGCGCTCATGGAAAACTCTTGGGTGGGAGCGGCGGGACACTGGTGCTGGTGTTGGGGAGTCGGGAGACGAGGCAGTGGTCGGCCAGGGCCAGCGGTCCCGGGGCGCATGGGGTGGGGAGCGGGACCCTCCCGCCTGCCCTGCCGGGGGTAATCCCCGCCCAGTCGCTCGCGTGCGACTGGCGTCTCTCTACCTCCAAATGGCCAAGCCACAGCAGCTCAGCCACGACAGCAGCACGGCCACTTCCCGGGCTGACATGGCGCCTGCTCCGCCGCCGCCCAACCGCCTCGGCCACTCCCGTCCAGGCCTCGCGCATTCCCGGGGGACGACGGCCAGGCGGGCAGCAGCAGGCGCTTGGGTCCCGGCGCGGCTGGACACGGCGGGCCGGGCCTGAGGACCAGCGAGGGAGAAGTGTGCGCGTGCGCGCTGCTGCCTGCGCTCCCTGGAGGCCTGAAAGTAGCTGGAGTGCGAACCTGCACACCGGATTTTAGGAAAGGCAGAACCAGGCTTTCCAGCAGTGAGATAGCAAAAACACTTCGAAAAATCCGAGTTGCCAATTAAAAAGAAAGAAAGAAAAGAAAGAAAGAAAGAAGGAAGGAAGCAGGGAATGAAGAAAGAAAGAGAAGAAAAAGAAAAATCCCAGTTGCCTGAATGAATGTGAAACTTTTAAGGTAGTGTGTGTTTTAGCCCACATCTTCATGTGACTGTGTATGGACACTGCAATAGCAAATACATATCTGGCAGCGCTTTCCAGGGAGCAGGCACGTTATAAGTGATTGTTGTTGTTGTTGTTATTGTTGTTGTTGTTTTGAGACGGAGTCTCGCTCTGTCGCCCAGGCTGGAGTGCAGTGGCCGGATCTCAGCTCACTGCAAGCTCCGCCTCCCGGGTTCCCGCCATTCTCCTGCCTCAGCCTCCCGAGTAGCTGGGACTACAGGCGCCCACCACCTCGCCCGGCTAGTTTTTTTGTATTTTTAGTAGAGACGGGGTTTCACCGTGTTAGCCAGGATGGTCTCCATCTCCTGACCTCGTGATCCGCCCGTCTCGGCCTTGTTGTTTTTGAGACAGAGTCACCCTCTGTCACCTAGGCTGGAGTGCAGTGGCTCCATCTGGCTCGGCTCACTGCAACCTCCGCCTCCCGCGTTCAAGCGATTCTCCTGCTTCAGCCTCAGGAGTAGCTGGGATTACAGGCATGTGCCACAGGGCCCGGCTAATTTTTGTATTTTTAGTACTGACGAGGTTTCCCCATGTTGCCCAGGCTGGTCTCGAACTCCTGGCCTCAAGTGATCCACCTGCCTCAGCCTCCCAAAGTGCTGGGATTACAGGTGTGAGCCACCAGACCTGGCCAGGCACACCATAAATGATTTTTATTTTATTTATTTATTTATTTGTTGCAGGAGACTAGAGTTTTATTATTACTCAAATCAGCCTCTCTGAACAACAGGGAAGCAGAGTTTTTAAGGATAGCTTGGTGGGTTGGCGGAAGCCAGTGATCCAGGAGTGCTGGTTGGTCGGGGATGAAATCATAGGGAGTAGAAGCTGTCTTCTTGTGCTGAGTCACTTCCTGGGTGGGTGCCACAAGAACAGATGAGCCAGTTGATTGATCTGGGTGGTGCCAGCTGATCCAACAAGTACAGGGTCTGCAAAATCTCTCCAGCACTAATCTTAGGAGCAGTTTAGGGAGAGTCAGAATCTTGTATCCTCCAGCTGCATGATTCCTAAACCTATTTTCAAATCTTGTGGTTAATGTTAGTCCTACAAAGGCAATCTAGTCTCCAGGCAAGAAGGAGGTCTGCTTTGGGAAAGGGCTGTTACCGTCTTTATGTAAACTATAAACTAAATTTCTCCCAAAGTCCAAAGTTAGTTCAGCCTATGCCCAGGAATGAACAATGACAGCTTTGAGGTTAGAAGCAAGATACAGTCCATTAAGTTAGATCTCTCTCACTGTCTCAATCATAATTTTGCAAAGATGGTTTCAATCCTTCCCTTTGGGTAGGTTATGAAGATGGGAAAAGGCCGTTGATCGCTCTGGCTTCTTCCAGATGACAGAGGACGTAATGGGAATGGGAGTGAACTCCAAGGTGAGAAGAGTGGAACCGCTTTGCAACTGTCTAAGCGACTCATGCAGGCCTGGTTGGGTTTCCAAGGCTGGCACGGCAAACACATTAGTACTCTCACCTATAGTTTTACTACAATGTTTAAGTGAACAGCCTGCTATAAGGTAAATAATGAGTCCTAGGATGAGGAGTACGATTCCCAATTTTAAAAGCAAAGATTTGAAAGCATTAGTCTGGGGACTTCTAACCCACAAAGAATTTAGTGTTTAGTCTAAACTGGAGAAAAAACTTCCAAGGACACCTAACAACAGTGTACTATAGTTTTTCTTTTGAAGCGTAATTTTTTTCTCTCATCACCATTTTTATTCAAAACAAACCATGATAGAACTGATTTGTTTACAAAATAAACTTTAGTCTTACTGTACTTGGCCTGATTATTTGCATAAAGTGCAGCAATAATAATTATTTTTCACTTAGGCTTTTTTCATTGGCTTTGATAGAACTCTGTTCCATGAAGAATCTCAGATAAGACTTTTTAAAAGGTGAGCCCAGGCTGGGCGCGGTTGCTCATGCCTGTAATCCCAGCACTTTGGGAGACTGAAGTGGGTGGATCACAAGGTCAGGAGATCAAGACTGTCCTAGCCAACAAGGTGAAACCCCATCTTTACTAAAAATACAAAAGTTAGCTGGGCGTGGTAACGCATGCCTGTAATCCCAGCTACTTGAGAGGCTGAGGCAGGAAAATCACTTGAACCTGGGAGGTGGAGGTTGCGGCGAGCTGAGATTGAGCCACTGAACTCCAGCCTGGTGACAGAACTAGATTCCGTCTCAAAAAAAGAAAAAAAACAAACAGAAAACAGCCCAGCCTCAAATACCTGTGAGTTGGTATTTGAAAATTCCTTTCCTCTTGAAGTCCCAAGATAACTTGGAGTTCCTGGGCCTGTTAGAAAGTGACATTCTTTACTTACCACAGGTCAGGAACCTTGTACAGGGACTCTGTGTGGACAAGGTATGAGGCCAGATTCCCCAGTGGGCTTTAATTGGCTCTGTAAGTCAACATTGATTCTTTCAGGGAAGCATGCCATTCCAGTCAAAGCCTTGGTAAAACAACCAATTTCTCCCATTGTCTCCTGTTACAAAAGAAAACAGATTCTTATTGCACTTATTTAATTAACCATACTGCCATAAATTGAGAATATTCACAAATAGTTTCCAAATTCTGGAGAAATCAGGTACAGAGGAACAAATATACTCTAAATTTTGTTCACAGGAGTATATTTTACTCACCTGTTAGAAGTTGCAAATAGCTCGAAAGAAATAAGTTCTCTTGACTCTGAAAAAAAAGGTTTAGCAATGTTTAACACATTAGCTCTCCATGAGAGCCCTATAAGTTTGGTTTTTTCCCTCCATTCCAATAACACAATTTTTAAAGTTATCTGAGACCAGCACTCAGAGTCCTGTATCTGTCACATAAACTGCCCTTTGAAAAGGACCAAAGCAAGACAAAATGTCTGTGGATGGCAAAAGCCCATAGCCACTATTAAAGCTACAACTGACTAGGAATTTTGGTTACTTCTGTGGCATACAACAATTTTACATAACAATTATAATTATTAATAATGTACACTAAATTATCACATTAGAGAAATGTCCCATACTTTTGGAACACATACCAGTAACATATTTATACAAACACAGCCCCAAAGAAAACCAAACACCATTCCCTCTTCTGTTTGAAAGGTGTTTTCTATTCTAATGTCACAATCTCCCAGAGTTATTAATCAGAAACCTGCATTTAAGAGCACTTGTTAAATTTTATAGCTGATTATAAAATCATGTTTTAAAGAGGACCAACGTGAGACAACAATTGTCTGTGGATGACAAAAACATTTTAGGGCAGCCACTGTTAAAGGCACGACTGACAAAGAAATTTACCTCTGTGGCACACAGTCATTTAACATAATAATGATAATTATTACTGGTAACATATCCTAAGTCATATTAGAATTATAGCAGTTTTACCTAATTTTGGAACATATACCAATAACACATTTACACAAATATAGACCAAAGAAAGCCAAACACCATTTTATATTTGACAATGCTTCCTGTATGATTTTTGGACTTTAGAGGACCTAATATCTAAAATATTAGGTTAGAAAGAGACATAATTTATAATTTGATTTTGGAAAGTCTGTCAAATATCAAAGGTTTAAAACACTGGATATCACAAAATAGAATCCCAGGTCACCATAAGTCATCCATTTGGCCAAAATGGTAACTCCAAAACAATTAAAAACAAAAAGAAAAACCTTTACTGTGATAGAGGTGACTTAGCTTTCCAAAGGAAGATCCAATGAAAATAGCATGAGGCCAACTGAATCTCTCTTCTCTCTCTCCTCCTTTTTCCCCCTGCCATTTATCCAAAGGAGAAAACAAAACCCTTTCATTATCTTTTAACATTACATAAAAATCGTCTTCAGAAGAGAAAACCAGATTTCATGTGCATCTTTAATGTTAAAGCTAGTTTTTTAAATAAAGTTTTATATCTCTATCCAGTTTTAATTAGTTTGACCATAAGGTAAGATTTTCATAAACTTTTTAGAACCCTTTACAATTTTCCATCAAACAGCAGATCAGTTTTCTAAGAAAACCCTGTTATTTGGACACGGGGGCCCAGATTCTGGCCCCACATCAGTATGATTTTAATATTTTAACCTACAGAAAAAAGCTAATTATTTCTTTCAGCTCTTAGCCAACTTGTTTATACCCACAGAATTTTTTTTTAGATTCACCCTTTACAAACCTTTTCACTTTGCTTAAACCTTCAGATTTGTTCCGTTCCTCTTTCAGGGTGAGACAATCTTTAAAACCCTCTGAACTAGACAAAATTACATGCCCTTTAACAAAAGCCATATTCCTGTGCCTTCTTATAATCTTTTACCAAAAATCACATTCCCTACACACCTTGTATGTAAAACTGTTTCTCCAGTAATCTCAGTTTCACGTTAGCAACTTTCATTTTAGTGAAAAACCTGATCAGTGAGTGAGTTAATTCTAGCGGTGGAACCTAGGACACCAGACAGAAGTGAAGATAAGGCCTGTTTTCAGCATAACTAGGGGCATGGCTGTCCACGTGTCCCCAGGCCTTATTTATAACCTAATGCTCCAAAATAGGTAAATCAAACGATTTTCAAAAGTCCAAGGAACAATTTGACTTTAAAGCATTTAGCAAATCTGATATCTGATCTTAATTTAGACTAAATGTCTATATTTTCATGACATTTTACCAATAATCTTTAAAACTGTCTTTATTTCCAAAAGATTACTAAAGTCATGTGAATAAAAAGGCATTCAAGTTTCTATTTTTCCGACAAAATATGTGATGTAAGCGCTCATTTTTCTAAGGAAATTAATCAGAGCTTTTTTATATAAACATCACACACCAGATAGAAGATTCAGCACTTGTAAGATTTTTCATTTGCCAGTTTTTTAATTGGATTACTGGCTTCATGGGGGAGCCCCTGGAGGAACAGGGCCAGGAAAGCTTGTGTTTCTAGGGCCAAATAAGCAGCAAATAAGCCACTGAAGGCAAAGACAGATTCTTAAAAATAAGGGTTCCGTTTTATACTGGATCCTGGATCCCAAGAGGAGGGAAATACTTCGAGAGAAGGCAGTGCAGTGCTTTTACCGACTGTGCATTTCATTGCAAGGCACCGCAAAGCCAATTAGTCCATTTGTAATTAGACCACCCCCCATGGGAGTCTCCTCTCTCTGTGGGGCAGGGGGAATGTTTCCATGTCTTCCAGGTGGCCAAAGCGTGCTTCTCTGATCCAAGTGTGCCAAGACTCAAGTATGCCTCCATAACTACTATTAGCCAACCTCTAAAACATATTTCCTACCTGGTTGTTACACACCAAAGCTCTCTCAGAATGAGAAGTAATTTCTGATACCCCTAAAACTCAAAACCGTCAGATAACACAATGCAAAACAGAACAGAGCCTTTGATTTTGAGAGGGATCTATCTGTTTTTAATTCTCGGGGTTTCATGAGGAAAACAGAGCTTTCTTCCGAAACGGGGACTGTGGTGCCTCCTGTTTTTCCCAAGGAGTCCCAGGCTGCCGGAAGCGATCTCACGGCCTCTGGTGTGCATTAAGATAGGCAAAACCGGGCGCGGTGGCTCAAGCCTGTAATCCCAGCACTTTGGGAGGCCCAGACGGGCGGATCACGAGGTCAGGAGATCGAGACCATCCTGGCTAACCCCGTGAAACCCCGTCTCTACTAAAAAATACAAAAAACTAGCCGGGCGAGGTGGCAGGCGCCTGTAGTCCCAGCTACCCGGGAGGCTGAGGCAGGAGAATGGCGTGAACCCAGGAGGCGGAGCTTGCAGTGAGCCGAGATCCGGCCACTGCACTCCAGCCTGGGTGACAGAGCGAGACTCTGTCTCAAAAAAAAAAAAAAAAAAAGGCAAAACAAAAAAGTGGAGGAAAATAATTCAGTTGACTGAGAAGGAAAAAAGATCTTTTTCCAGAAAAACAAGATCCAAGAAGACAGAAACATAAAGGCCTTTTAAATATATCTATAGCTGGTTTATCCACTTTTAATGAAGCTGACTCTTAACCATAGTGCTCTTTAAAAAACAAACCCTTAAAAATTTTATTACCCAACTTTAGCCATGCCAAGCGGCCAATATTTTTGGCTTTTGAATTCTACCACAGGTAACTTCCCATATGAAATTAATACATTTTAACTAAGGTTATAATTTAACCATGGACACACAGGTGTCTCAAAGAGATGGTAAGCAGTTTTTTTTTTTCTACAAGATTTAGAATCTCCCCCAGGGTAGTTTAGAGAAAGGAAAATTCAAGACAGGAAATCAGAAGCTATCCATGGGGGCGGGGGAGGCGGGGAACCTCGATAAATGGCAAAGTTACATAAATAAAAAACCAGAGGGGAATCATTCCGGAAGCCAGGAATAGAACGCAGACCCCCACTGTCAAGAGGCAAAGCCTTAGCTACTGAGTTATACAGCACTGAGCAGTTTCTATTCGTCCCAGAAGGAGCCTAAAGAAGCCAATTTCAAGCTTGCGAAGGCTTTTAACTGCTCAAGAAAATGTTTAGGGCTAACCTACAAATCTCCAAATTCCTGTCTTCTAGATGGCAGAAACCAAGAGAAATTATCTCCACATGGTCACAAAGTTAAGCTCTTAAGGACACAAAACAAGACAGAGAAATTTCACACAGTATTGGCTTCAGGGACCTGTAGTAACGTTTGTAACTGACCAGCCTGCCAAGCTGGCTTGAAAAGCAGGCTTATAGGGGTCCTAAAGCCACGTTCTATCCTGTGGATACCCATCTCTCCACTACAGAACACAGAAAGACAAATTCTTAGCACAAAATTACACCAGATTCGCTACAGCCTAAGACTAGTCTCACAAATCCTTTTTTCTATTCATCAAACCCTTGCAGAGGAGACAAACAGTTTACTATTTACTGAGAGAGAGAGAGAGAGAGAGAGACCAGAAACTTGTCTGGTAAGAATTTCACACCCTTTTTGCCAACATACCAGATTTCCAGGTTCCCTTTCTCTGCAGCTTCCAGAAGAATGGAGTGGCTTTTGATGACCCTGCTTGCTTGTGCTATAGCTGTGGGGTTCAAGCCACTTTACAAGGGAAAGTCACCCTTTCGTGCTTTATGGAACCGTAGACAAAATTCTTAATTTGCAAGATGCTGCCCAGAGGGCTGCGTGGGGAACCAAATTAACATTTTCCATCCCAGCAAAACACACATAACAAAACACACATTAGTCACCTCGTTCAGCACCCAGTATCAGCCTGGCAAAGCTCAAAACCTTTCTCCCGTTGGTCCCTGTCGTCTTTGATCCACTCCAGGTGGGGAGGGATGACCTCGGAATGGTAATTCACAATAGGGTCTCTGGGCAAGAGGAAGAGCAGATAGTCGCCCCAAGACAGGCCTGTTGAGCCTTCTCTAGGGCTCATCAAATGTGACCAGACAAATAAGGAGGGGTCTGAGTTAGGTCTGCTGGACTCCATCAGCAACCTCTTCTGAGATCCCTTCCACATAGACAAACACACACAAAGACGAGAGGACAGAGGCCTTCCCAATCAGATCCCTAACCAAGAACTCCAGGAGTATCCCTTCCCAACTATCCTCCTATTCTCCTTCTGAGAAACCTCTTTGAAATCTTCCTGATTGAGGAGAAGTCTCCCAAACCTGGACTCTTCCTACTAGTTAGAGCCAACCGAGACCCCCCAGGAGCCGAACAGACATCCTGCAGTGGGGCTACAGACACCCCACCATAGGGCTACAGAACCAGTCGGGAGAAAGGAGGCATTGGCAGCACCTAGGATGCTCTCCAATCCAGACACCCCGCCCCGCAATGGGGCTACAGACAGACACCCTGTGACAGGGTTACAGTTAAGGGACATCTCCCCAGGACTATTTCTCCATTGCAATTAAATCCATGCACACTGGGTTGGCAGCGCCCCGCCAGTGGAGAGAGTACCAGAGTCAGCCCCCAGTCCAAGAGAACTGGGTGGCCACCTGGGCAGGCTTCTGGATCCCTCGCTGGAGGGGGGCCACTGAACCACGAGCAGGTAGCCACAACAGCAATCCCAGACACGCCCCCAAATTTGTAACCGCCCAAGCAGTTCACCTTGTCCGCTGCCGAGACAGAGTCGATTCATCAAGACAGGGGAATGGCAATAAAGAAATAGTAATTCATGTAGAGCTGGCTGCGCAGGAAACCAGAGTTGTTTTATTACTCAAATCAGTCTCCCATAAATGATTTTTAAAAATTGAACGGAAATGACTAGTAACATGTGCTTATTCAGTATCTACTATCTGCCCAGCACTACCTCGGGCATTTGAGTAGAAAGAAATAGATGGCATTCTCATTTCCAAAACGTTTGTGATCTTGTAATAAGGCCAAGATAGACACCAATTATCACATAGTATTATAATTAATTTGTTTACTAATCAATAGACCAAATAATTTGAATCCTTGAGGGCTGCAATTGTATCTTTATTTCTCCTATGTTATCAGTGCCCAGGACACTTAGTAAATAGCAGGTTCTCAATGTTCCTGACTTAACTCATTGACTAGAAATAAAATACTAAAGTGCGCTCTAGAGACCATTAGTGAACATACAGTATGTCCAGGCGATTTGGGAGATGGTACATGTAATGTGATTCTATTCCCACTTTTTTTCGAAGCACCTTTTATCAGAATTAAACATCATGGTTAATTTGTGTTGGAGTTGAAAGGGCATTAGATGAACAGTAGGTATACGCCAGAATCTAGTTACAACTGTAACTAAGAGACAGTGGAATCTACAGGAAGGACATGGGCTCTGGACTCAGATTATCGAAGTACCAATTTAGGCCTCACTAGGGCAAGTTACCTAGCTTTTAAATCCTGTAAAATAAGGATAATAGAGGATCACCTACCTTATACGGTTGTGGAGATTTAAAAAAAGAAAAGAAGTGCATGACAGTATCTGCATATATGTACTATATATGACATAGGTAATCCACTCCTCCTCTCTGAGCCTTTGTTACTACTGTGTAAAATGAGAATTAGGACTTTACTTGATTTATTGATTTCAGGTCTCATGTCCTTTATCTTATCGCCTTACTGTTGAATTTTGTCTTTTTTTTTTTTTGAGACGTTGTCTTGCTCTGTCGCCCAGGCTGGAGTGCAGTGGCCGGACCTCAGCTCACTGCAAGCTCCGCCTCCCGGGTTTACGCCATTCTCTTGCCTCAGCCTCCCGAGTAGCTGGGACTACAGGTGCCGCCACCTCGCCCAGCTAGTTTTTTTGTATTTTTTTAGTAGAGACGGGGTTTCACCGTGTTAGCCAGGATGGTCTCGATCTCCTGACCTCGTGATCCGCCCGTCTGGGCCTCCCAAAGTGCTGGGATTACAGGCTTGAGCCACCGCGCCGGCCTTGAATTTTGTCTTATTTGATCCCTGTCCCCATCTCTGTTACTTCCAGACTTTCAATTTCCAATTCTACACTTACACGTTCCAATTTTATGCTGTTTGTACTGAGAAATTCCACACTTTGTATTTTGTACACGTTCATTCCTTAATAAAGACAAATCCAGACAAACCTGCAGATGGCAGACACAGTGGCCCCAGAATACGCCGCCGCAGCCCAGAGCGTTGCGTGCTGGGAGTTGTAGTCCGACGCTCCACACGCGCCTCCGCGCCTCTCCAGTTTGAAAACAAGAGGTAGAGCGGGTAGGCGGGGTGCTAAAGGAGAAGCGCTCTCGAAGCCCCGCCCCTGACCTTTTCCGCTCGCGAGGTTCGCACAGGAGTGGCGCGCCAGGCCGCGGAAGGGGCGTGGCCTCGGTCCGGGGTGGCGGCGGTTGCCGCCACCAGGGCCTCTTCCTGCGGGCGGTGCTGCCGAGGCCGGCCTGCGCGGGGCAGTCATGGTCCCCCATTGAGCGGGCTGTGGCGGAGAGCGGGGCGGGGACTGGCTGGAGGGTGGCGGCCCGGCGGGGCGGGGGCGGGGCCGGCCTCTGGCTCCTTCTTCCTCCGCATGTGGCTGGCGGCCGCAGAGCAGTTCGGTTCGTTGACTCCTCGGCGGCCGCCTCTCCTTCGGGCTCTCCTCGCGTCACCGGAGCCATGGCGTTAGCCAAGACCTACCCGGCGGCATCCTCCCTGCCCAACGGCGATTGCGGCCGCCCCAGGGCGCGGCCCGGAGGAAACCGGGTGACGGTGGTGCTCGGTGCGCAGTGGGGCGACGAAGGCAAAGGGAAGGTGGTGGATCTGTTGGCGCAGGATGCCGACATCGTGTGCCGCTGCCAGGTGAGGCGACGGGCCTCTCACGGGAGGCTGGGCCCGGGAGCTCGGGCTGCCTGGCACCTGGTGCCCAGGAACTCGGACCCAGGACCCGGATCCACTGGCCAAAATGAGGTGTCACCTTGAGGCTCCCTCCTCCTGTCCTGAGCTGCGGCGACGTGGAGAAATGGCGGGAGGTCGGGGACCCCTGACCTGGAGCGTCGGGTGAAACTTGGGGTGGTTCTGGAGGAAAAGGTGGGCTGGCGGGGAGCCTTTGAGAGATGCGCGACGCCTGGGGACTTGCAGTTTGGCGTCTGGGGACTGGTGCTCCGCCCCGGGACTGAGGCCAGGGTGGAGGTGGGATGCGGTCCGAGTTTGAGGAGCTACCGCCCGAGGCCTGCTCCCAACTCTTCCGACTGCGGGCGGAGACCCGGCGCGACGGCAGAGTCCCCCCATCACCGCCCCCCCACCCCGCCCAGGGCGGCGGAGTGGGAGTGGATTGTTTCGAAATGTCCTGAAACCCAGACTCCGTCTGCAGGACTGTGGCATGCAGTGTTTTGCTTCCTCTGGTCCACTTTGTTGACATCCAAACCCACCCACCTCTGGGCTTTGGACTGTTGTTTTAGGGCCCTGAGTTTCTTGTTTTTGTTTTTGTTTTTACAATGTGCTCCGTACCTTAAAGTTAAGGAGAAATTACTTTTACTAGTTGGTCCCAGAGGAAGGAATCCCTTCTCTGTTGAAAAAAAGTAAATACATGGATGTCAAATTGAGTATTTAGAAATAAATATTTGCATTGCTAAGGTGACATCGAAAGTGCACTTTCGGAAAACGAGGTGGTAATGAACTTCTAACGGGAGACACGTGGTTTTCAATGTAAGCTTTCTTCCTATTTGTCGTTTCCTTTGAAGCAACATACAGGGGAGGCCTTTTGTAAAGGCTCTCAGATAACTCTCTCCAGCTTCAAAATTCTAAGTAGATGAGTAATAACCACGTTCAAAACAAAGCATAATGTAATATTTGAAGTTAACTGCTGTCTGTTTAGGTTGCAAGAGTATTTGTTTTTGAACATACATGGCATGATATGATGGTGCCATGCTGTATATGTTCTAGTAAGTCATAGGCCCCCTTGAATACCATTCTGAGCATGCAGAAACAGTGAAATCACAGGTATATAGAAGAGCTAAATGCAAATACTGCAAATATTCTCTGATTTACCTTGTTTCATTTTGTTTTGTTTTCATGCAGAAATCCACCCTGTCCATTCTGAAATAGCTGTTACACTAATTGCCTCTTAGGAAACCGTCACTACCACCTCTCCCTCCTTCCCTTCCAGCCTATTACTTCTCCACCCCTCTGGCAACACACTTTGTACCTTAGCACTCTGGAGGGTGTTGCCATTAAATTCCTGCCCCACACTTTCTTAGGAAATACTCCAGAAATCCAGCCTTTACCTACCTTTTGTCTTACATTCAGATCTGGTCATGCTGTGGGGAAGACGTACCAGAACGCCGAACTTTCTTGCTGTCTAGAAGGGGAGAGAGGCGGAGGCCTGTGTGTCTCCTTCACTGACATCTTGAAATCTTTACGTGGAAGTAGCTCAGGTTGAGCTACACTATGGGTTGTAAGAAGGTTTGGAGAACACAACCATTATGGTATTTATTCTAAAGGATTCTCAATTTAATATTCTATCGAGAAATATTAGAAGTAGTTTGTAGCTTGGAGAAGGTGTTACTAATGTTACCAAGAAAGTAGTCTTGAAGTCGTGGACCGACCTGATCTGATGCCCTTGGAAAGTCTAGAGAAGTGATTGAGAAGGAACTAAGTTTGGCTTTAAAATGTTACCTGAAGATAGTGGAGAAACAAATGAGGGGCCCTGTTAGGCAGACTTCCCTCATCTATATATTTTTGACCTAACTACCTTCCTTATAGAATCCTTATGTTCTTCTAGTGCCTTTTAAGAGTGTATCATTAGGATTCTTTATTAGTCTTGTTAGCAAAAAATAGATGAGTAATGAATAGATTTAAGCATTATCTCTTTTGTGATTTACCTTGGTAACTTTGTATTATTTGGTTAGCCCTAGTAAGCTGGCATCTACTTAATGAAGTTCTCCTAGGTGTTAAAATTGGAATGTTGGAGTTCTTACTGAGTGTGTATAGAGAGTTGGAAAAAATCAACAGTAAGACATTGTGAGCTTGGATTGCCTTGTCTGATGTCTTAAGTTTTGTGTGTTAGTGAAAACATGTCCTTTGTTAGAGTTTAATATATTCTGCCATATTGATGTCATGAGTTCAAATTTTATTCAGCACTGTTTCTCCAGAAATGATGTACACATAATGTATCCATATTTCACCAGTAGAATCGTAAGGACTTTCTCCCAACATAAAATATAGTTTTAAAAAGAAAAACTGGCATTGTATTTAATGATAAATTTTAATATATAAAATGCCTTTTTGGAAACACTAGATGCAAACCCAATGGCATTTTCACTCTTACAGCGCTTAAGGCCTGTGTTGTTCAGATTCAGGATTTATGGGAAGTTATTTATAACTTGGTAGGTTCCCCAGATCTGTAAATATGTAGCACTTACATCAAAGGACAGCCACTACTGATGCCTTAATTTTAAATCAATATTTATTTTAAGAAGAAGAGAGAAGAATTAAATAGAGGCCCAACCCTGGGTACAGGTCATTCATCTAGTAAACACTGAGTATCTTCAGGGGATCACTTAGCCTGGGAGTCAAAAATCTGAAAAAGGCAGGGATTGTGCCTACAAGGAGCTCACAATCTGGGGGACAACTGCTGTGTAAGCAAAAATATTGAGAAGGTCGGGATGGAGAAAGGTACTAGCCTAAGTGTTTCAAGGGATTAAAGTATGGGACCAAAAAGGTCCCTTTCTGGCATCACAGAAGGAAGTCTAATACTGTTTTTTCCCAAATTCTCTCAAAGTAAAATACTGTGCTTTGGTTTCTTTATTTTGCTGAGTAGAAACTACAGAAACTTCTTAACTGTAGTAGTTTATACCAGGCTTTAAGCAAAGGCTTATTCATTGTTTTTGAGGAAAGTAAGTTTGGTGGTCTTGATTATAATGACACACACGAAGTTGCCTGTGATCAGCAAAGGCTAGAGCAGTATTCCCTGTGTTTTCTCTCCAAGGCTTTAAAGCCAATACAAAAAGAAAATACTAAAGTTAGTTATAAGGGAAGGCAGACCCCATCACTTGATATATGTTTTTAAAAGCTTGCTGTAAAAATAAACATACTGAAAAAATACTACTATTTTCTAGCTAGATACAAGTATCTGCTGAAGATCTGAAACCACTATTAGTAAGTGTTAAGCATAAAAGACATACCAGCAGCAAACTGAGACTTTCTCCTTGAAATAAAAGGTGAAAGGTAATTTAAAAGAAAATGTTAGTATTATTTAATGCCTTGACCTTGTACAGCTAAAATGATCTGCCAGGATAGTAGGTAATTAGCATTTAAGGTAAGCCATTCTTCCAGGTTTATAACAATTGCTATTTCCATTTTCTGATTCTTTTTGTATCATTTATAGCATTTCCCTAGTATATAAGTATTTACCAATGTCTGTTATACTATACTTGATTAAATCTTGTTCTGTTTGGTTACTGTGGTTTCTCTACCAGAATGTAAATTTTCTCAAAAGGGGGACTTCGTTTTTTTGTTCTGTTGCACCTAATACTATATGAAGCAGAAGGGAAATACTCAACCAGTGTATTCTGGGTGGCAAGATCACCCCTAGAAATTTATTTGAAATAAGTAATAGTAACCCTTTCTTGTAATTGTTTTAACATCTCTCTGGACAATTTAATTGACTGGTGGCATACATTTAAGGTGGAATTCCTAGGCATTCCTTGGATTAACATTGTTGCTTAGTTTTTTAGCTGGAATGTTTTACATTGTACCATTCAAAGGCTTTGTGTATATTAAAATCTTATTTCTTGTTTCTAGGAGAAAATAGGTAACTGATATTTATCTCTTTTTCATGTATCTCCTGAACTATTTCAATTGAATGCCATGTAGGGTTCTAATAACTAGCTTTTCTCCGCTGAGGACAGTAAATCTCAATGTTCAGTCAATGAGGATGTCCCAGGTTGCTATTTCAGTTAGTAAATATAGTATCCTGTCAGCTCTGCTTTTGAGGCATGAGTTTTTATATGTATATGAGACCATCTCAGTGGTGTCTGATCAAAATTATTCTGTTTCTTTAACTTTGGTGGGAATGGATGGGTTTGTTGGATATTTTCAAGTATCTCTAAGAAAAACTGTTGCCTAGAGCAAATCTAGAATGAACCAATAAATTGATACGTACTTAGTAGCTTTCTTGCTGTAACTGGATACGAATCCGGCTCTCTTACCTCTCAGGGACTGTGTCAGATGTTGACACCGAAGATTAGTGTGGACTAAATAATGATAAATAAAAATTGGTGACTATTACACTTTTATCAACAGAAACATCAACATTCAGTATTGCCTGCTGAAAGCAATGAAAAGAACAATAAATGAAGGGGGGAGTTCCTGTGGCTACTCTGGCTCTGGGATGGGATAGTTCTTTACATTGAACCAAAATTTATATTTGATCCACATAATAAAATTCTTTTTTAAAAAGAGGCTCCATGAGATTTCTGAAAATGAGATTTTTGTCTATATTAAGTTTTAACATCTTTTTTAAAGGAAGAATTTTATTAGTAAGAAAACTTCTTTGACTTGAAATCTCTAGTTTAATTTCAGTGTGTTTTTAAGAAAATATTTTCATGAATGTATTTAGGTGAATTTTTATCAAACATTCACAAAGAGCTGTGTGATATCATTGGTTTATACATTTTTGGTTGAATGTCTTATGCTCTCAGCTATGACCCTGGTTTGGTGAGTGTGAAAGAATATTAGAGTTTGGTAGCCAGAGTCTAAAGCTTCTTAATTAGGAACCTAAGATCCTCTCAGGCAATGCCTCCTTCCACTTTCATTGTGAGAAGTTATTTCATAATGGTAATGTAAGGTCTAAAATATAA